CTGGAAAAGATCCATGTTTGTGCTCATTTCAAAATAGTGATCCAAATGTACCAAATGATATCTTTTATCACATACAAGTAAAATATTTTTGAAAATTATTTATAATATATCTAGACCATACACATCGACAAGAAACTGCTACAAGTTAAAAATGGATTCAGAAGAGAATACCAAAATATGTTTATGTTTTATTGACTATACAAATGTATTTTACCATTAAAAAATATGGATAATATTGAGATTTAAAAAAAAAAAAGACTAAAAAAAAAACCAAAAACAAACAAACCAAAAAACCAACAACAAAAAAACCCCTGTCACATCTAATTGAATTTTTTGTTGAGTGATGAGTATTCCAGTTTTTCTTAAGAGCAAATTAATGAATTTATTTAAATGAAAGAAAAGCAAACAATATTAGACTACTTTCCTTTTGGATAAGTAAAATAAAAACAAGCCTAAATAAAACCATACTAAGTTATTAATACATTAAATAAAAATGATCTAAAAATACCAATAAAAAGAAATTGTCAGATGGGATTTAAAAATGCCCAGGCTATGTGCTGTTCAAAACAAACTACTACAAATATAATCATATAGGTGTTGAATGCTGTGGCATCAGAACTGCCCCGTATAGCTTTGACCCTCCTGCAGGTTTTCAGAGGCAGGAAGAGATTGCCCATCCTTCTCCCTTGGTTATATAGGGAGATTATATATAAAAGGATTAAAAGTGTTATCCTATGCAAACACTAATTAAAAGAAAGCTAGGGTTGTTATTTTAATGTAAAACTTGTCTTCAGAGCAAAGCAAATTGCTAGGGAGACTGAAGAATATTACATGATAACGATTAACTCACCAAAAAGACCTAAGAGATCCTCAGTGAATACAGATTTAACACAAAACTAACAGATATGAAAAGAATATGCTGATCTGTACTTACAGTTGTGGTCTATAATGCTCTTCTTTCAGTAATCCCTAAAATTATTGTTAAATCATTGAATTGATTCCAACTCATAACAACCTTTTGTAGGATAAAAGAAAATATGTCTCAATCCTGTGTCATTTTTCACAGTTGTTGCTACGTTTGAATTCATTGTTGCAACTGCTCTGTCAAGCTGTTTCACTGAGGGTCTTCCCGTTTTTTTGATGACCCTTCACTTTACCAAGTGATAATTTCTCCAGAGACTGACCCTATGTCTATATATGTGAGATTATGTTTCCACATCCTTGGAGCCCTCTGGCTGCATTTCTTCAAAGACAAATTTGTTGATTTTTCTGGAATTCCATAGTATCTTCAGTTTTCTTCTCTAACACCATTATTCAGAGGCATCAATTCTTTGGTTTTCCTTTATCATTCATTGTCCACTTTTACCAAGTCTGTGAAGCTGTTTAAAGTTCTGTGACTTGAGTCAGGTTCACCCATTCCTGTAGGTGACATTTTGTTTTTTAGTGTTTTACAGGGATTACTGAAGCTCATTTGTCCATTGCTGTGTGTCAGTTGATTTTTTGACTTCTACTTCCATAGGCATTAATTATGACTCCAAACAAAATTAAATCCTTGACAACTCCAGTCTTTTCTCTGTTTATCATGATGTTGTTTATTGGTCCAGTTGTGAGATTTTTTTTTTTATTTTCTTATGTTGAAGGGTATATAGTCTTTGGAGTTCATCAGTAAGTTCTTCAAGTCTTCTTAGTTTTTGGAAGCAAGTTATATTACTTGCATATTGCAGGTTGTTGGACACTTCCTCTGATTCCAATGACATCCTGTTTATAATTCAGTTTCTTGGATTATTTTCTCAGTATATACATCGAATAGATATGAACTTTTCTTAGAATTGTCCTAAGACAAATGACACACAGCTTTACTTATTTTAACCATGCAGTATTCCCTTGTTCTAGTTAAATGATGCCTCTTGGTCTATGATATGAGTACAATGAAGTCTTTGGAATTCCCATTACTTACAATGTTATCCACAATTTGTTATGATTTTTACAGTCAAATACTTTTGCATAGTAAATAAGACTCAGGTAAATATCTTTCTCATACTCTCTTCTTTCAGCTAAGATCATCTCGCATCAACAGTGATATCCCTTATTACACATTCTTTAATGAATCAAGCTTGAATATATGGAAGTTTCTGTTTATATTCTGTAGACATTTTGGAAGTCTTTTCAGTAATATTTTACTTACTTTGTTGCAGTGTTATCAGTAATATTTCAATATTAATGAAGATGAATATTTACGTATTCTATTGGATCACCTTTCTTTGAAATAGGAACAAATAAAGATCTTTTCCAGTTGGGTGGGCACCTAGTTGTCTGTCAGATTTCTTGACATTGGCCAGTAAGCCCTTCTACGCAGCATCTGTTTATTAAAAAGTCTCAGTAAATATTTTCTGAATTCTTGGAGTCTTGTTTTTAACCATTCTGTTTGGTGCAGCTTGAACCTCTTTTTTCAGTAGCATTAATTCTTAATCATATGCTGCCTCCTGATATGGTTAGAAGAAACATCAGTAAATATTTATTATTAAGTTAAATGCAGAATATATGATATATGAATCTAGAAAAATTATAATTCCTCAAAAGTTAAATTGAATGTATAAATAGTGATATTTTAGGCAAGTCAGCTTAAATTTACTTATATTAACCTTTTGGAATTGAATAAACACAATTGACTATGCTGAGAAAAAGAAATGGAAAAGGAATGATTTGAGATTTATTGTTGAAAGGAACATTTTAGAATATATCTTACAGTTCAAGCTGTAAGAAATAGGATAACACCCTTGTACTTAAAAGATAAGATTTAAGACTATAATTAAAATTTATTCACTTCCATGAACTCCAACAAGGAAGAAATAGAAGGGTTATAACAACTTCTGCAGTCTTAAAATTAATCAGATAAGATATATTGATAATTACTCGTTAGTGACACATGAAGTTGGAAACTTAGAAGAATAA